AGCTCCTCACATCCTTAGCTGTTTTGAGAGGGGGAAAAGGGTGCTTGGCATATTTACGTAACTGACTGTACCAAGAATCCCAATTCAAGCCAGGTGTGGCCGTGCATGCCTGTAATCCCAGCTCTAGGGAGGCTGAGGCAGGAGGATGGCTGAGTTCGAGGCCAGCCTAGGCTAGACAGTGAGTTCAAGGCTAGCCTGACTGGAATGCCTATCACAGAGTCCAATACAACCCCAAATCTTTCCTGATCTAGAACCCGGGCATCTTCCACCACACAGGTGAGAAATCTCAGGTGGCCCCCAGGAGTAGCACTGAGAGGGGCTTCCCAAAGAGAAGGCGCGAGCCTTGCTACCTACCTGTCACACGCCTGGGGGCGGGGCGGGATGGCACAGCCTGCCCCTCTGTGAGTGCAGATAAGACTTTGGGCGTCCAGATGCCTCCACACAGGACATCGGGAGCCCAGAGAAGGCGGCACAGCACACGGCAGGAGCCCACCACTCTGCCTGCCACATGCCGGGTGTCAGGTAGGCTCGGCGGGCTGTATCCAGGACTACAAGCCTGCTTGCAGTTCCCGGCCACCGCAGCCTCAGCGGGCGCAGGCAGACAGGAAAGCAGCCCTGAAGGAAGAGGACTTTGAGGAGGCGGGGGACCAGGAAGCAGGAAACGGCATTTCACACCCAGTGCCTGGCCCGGCCACAAAGGGAAGATGCGATCGTAGGCCAGAGACAAAAACCCATGTGTTCTGGAAGCCAGGGAGAGATCAGGTCGGGTGCAGCCCAGCACGGAGAGCCCTGGACATTCCGCTGCAGCCTCCCGATGCTCTCAGGGTCTTCCTGAGAGACTCCTTGGGCCAGAGACCGAAGCCAAGGCCCCAGTTCCTGGGACTGCTTGCTGCCCTGGGCTCCCTTCCTTGCCTGTGGCCTCTCCTGGCTTTTGGAGGGCAGCCAGCAGCCCCTGCTTCCCGGGAGCAGTGGAAGAGGTGGTTTCATCCAGGACCAGGGATCCTCAGACCTCTGGGGGGCTTTAGGATTCTCCTTCCTTCCTAATTCCTACCCATGTGTGACCCCCATTTCCATCTTCTGCCATTCCAGAACTGTGTGCAAGACCAGGCATGGTGGTGCACCCCTGTAACCCTAGCACTTAGGAGGCTGAGGCAGGAAGGTCACTGCAAGTTTCGAGGCCAGCTTGGGCTATACAATGAGACCCTTTCTTGATAAAAGAAAGGAAGGAAGGAAGGGAGGGAGGGAAAGAGGAAGGGAGGAAGAAAGACGTGCTAGGCAGGGGCGTATACACCTGCGTGCTGAGACCCCAGGTGAGCCGGGGACACACTCAAGGTCTCTGGTGGCAGTTAGATTGGTTTCTGACCAAAAGCCCTCAACCCCTCCTGTGTAGGAATCCAGTTTCCAGATTCCAGGGTTCTTCCCTCTCTGAAACTAATCCCCTAAGGCCAGGGGTCCTGTATGGGGACAGAGTACCTCCAGCTTTGGGGACCACGCTGTCTCTGGCAACTATGCGACACTGCCGTGGGAGTGCGTGGGAGCGTGGTAGCTCAGTTCCAGCGAGCAGAACTGCCCTGTTGGAGGCTGAGGCTGGAGTTCCATATCATTTGTGAAGGCCACTGGATGTTACTCGTTAGATGTTCTGCAGCCATTTAAAAGCCATTCCTGGCTCACAAGCTGTGCAAGAATAGGCAGGCGGCTGCAGCGCGGCGTTCTGCCGGTGATAGCTGAACTGGAAGTGTTTGCAGCTCAGACAGACAACTACAGATCGTCCAAACCTTTCACCCAACGGGGCTTTTCCAGCGACTCCAGGTTTGTTGTGGGCTCCAGGGTGATAACAGCTGTAAGCTCCCCCGAAGTAGCCTTGTCCTCTCGGCTTCATTAACTCTTCTGAAGAAGCTGGTCAGAGACGCTGGAGAGAAACCCTCCCCCACGCGGCCGTGGCACAGGCCAGGGTGCTCGCGTCCAACCTCAAACTGGTTTCCCCGGGCCCGGTACATTTCCATCTGCTCTCTTCCAGCTGTGCACGTCCAGGCTTTGCCAAGGCGCCCAGCACCGACCAGCTGGGGCAGGCCTCGTCACTATTTACTATTCAGTCCTCAATCCCAGGGTTGCAGGCGTTCCACGGTCCACGCCTCCTTTAAAAAGGGAGACCGTTCAGCCCACAAAGCCTGAGAGGAGTCAGCCAGAGGCAGATTCCCGGAGAAGGGGGATTTTTATTCTTTTTGAGACAGGTTGGCCTTGAACTCACTGTGTAGCCCAGGTGGGCTTTGAACTTGCAGTGATCCTCCTGCCTCAGCCTCCTAAGAGCAGAGTTTACAGGTGTGCAGCCCTTTGGCCAGCCCAGTCCTTCAGTTCTATCAGCTCTGCACACTCTGTCCCTTCTTCCATTCATTTGACAAACATGCAGTGATTGCCCCAAGGGCCAGGTGTGCTTCTCTTGGGAAAAGATTGGGGGAAGGAGGGTGCCCTGGCCTCTCTGATTTTAGAATGGAAGTGAGAGCACACACACATACATGCATACACGCACACATGCATACACGCACACAACTGCAGCTCAGTGGAGAGAGCTGAATGCCCGACAGGACTGTAGCCACACTGTCCAGGCAAGCAAGAGGTCACGGGCTGTGGAGGAGGGGCCATGGGCAGAAGTTTGGTGGAAGAGAGGGAATCTGAGCTGAGACTCCAAGGATTGGGGCATCTGGACCTGGGAGGCCAGGGCGGGGTGACTGAGAGTAGTTGGGGTACAGCCCAAGTGAGAAGCAGGGGAGACAGCTCGGACAGCCCAGGGCATGTTCAGAGGGGTGCTACTGACAGAGTGGGCTGTGGCCTCCTCTCCCTTCTCCGAGGGCTGGGAGCCACTGTCCCTTTCCACTTGTGCCTCCAAAAATGTGCTCCACCCTGACAATCACCGGGGTGGGGGCGCTGGAAAGGGGCAGGCAGCCTGTGAGGCCTCTAATGCCAGCAGAAGTCGCTGTAAGCAAGCGCGACTGCTGTAGGCTCCTCAGAAGGGCGCAAAATGCAGCCTGAAGCTGCCTGTGGGATGGGAGACCCAGGGAGGCCCAGGACCCCCTCGCCCAGGTTATTTCCTTTCAGGGTGGCTGCTTCACCCACACTTTCTGGCAACGGCAAAGGCCCAGGGGAGGCCCTAACGGCACAGCCCCTGATGGTCTAGCATGGCACTGCTATGGGTCTCACTGTATAGCCCAAGCTGGCCTCGAACTTGCAGTGACCTTCCTGCCCCTCTTCCACTGCTCCCGGTCTAGCATAGTCACTAGCATGGCACTGCTCCGTCAGGGTTAGATGAATATAGCATTTCCTTTCCCCACCTGCTTGTTTGTTTTTGAGAGAGGGTCTCGCTGTGCCGTTCAGGCTGGCCTTGAGCTCACTGTGGAGCCCTGCTGGCCTTCAACTCCCGGGGGTCCTCCTGAGCATTGGGGTTACAGGAGTGCGTCACCATGCCCAGCTTCTACCTTCCAAATAAGCCCACCTGTGGGTGACACGACCCGCCCCCCGGCACACACGAGTAGGACTCCCAGAGATGAGGCGCATGGTGAGCCTGGGGGGTTCTCCCTCTTGTCCAGGTCCTCGGCCAGCTCTGCATGTGACCCTGCAGCCCTGAACAAGGGGATTATTCAGCCTGGCTGGGGGAGAGAGGGAGGAAGACACTTCCTGCCCCTGCTTCCCTGGCCAGGCCAGGCCAGGCTTTGGCTGCGGGGCCAGAGCACAGAGGCTGATAAAGGCCCATTGTGGGAGCCTGAGAAACCCGGGGGCAATCAGGGGGCTGCGGGCTAGGAAGCCAGCTAACTGCTCTTGCACATTTGTGAAAAGAATTACTTGCCGGAAGTCATGGCAGAAGGAGGCCCTGGGCTGCCACTGCGAGGTGTCTCTGGCCGGCCTGCCACCCAAAGGGCGACCGACAGAGGACCCCAGGCCGCGCATGGCCCTCTGTGCTGCTCACGGCTCCCACACCTGGAGGGCGAAACCCAATCTCCCGGCAAATGCAGGAAACACAGAGGGGATCTCTAAAAAGGGCCCAGGGGACAGAGAGGAGCCTGCCGCCCGGTGGCGGGTGTGCAAAGCGGTAAAGCGCAGGAAAGGAGGAGGCTGCGGAGGAGCGAGGTCTGGAACTCATTTAGGAATTGCACTTCCAGGCCGGCCTGATCGCAGGCCGCACCATTCCGCCGGCAAAAGCACCCACTGCCAGGAAGGAGATGCCCGAGGCCTAGCTCTACCCCGCACCATAGATGGATGCCGCTGGGAGGTGGCAGAGAGTGGCTGGGTGGTGGCAGTGGATACAGAGCGCCTGGGGATGGGACCGGCCTGCTCCTGCTGAGCCTGGGAGGGCTGCAGGGTGTTGGGGGAACTTGACCCTCAGTTCACCCCAAATCTGCACAGCAGGTCGCCCTGTCCGGCTGACAGCTGGCCCCGGCCCGCTGGGAGAGGAAATGCAGAATCCAGGTGGATAGCGGCTGGCCCGCGGTGAACAGGCACCTGGGGCAGAGGTCGGCGCAACTCCCTTAAGTCCCCTGCGGAGGGCAGGGCTCGATCCTCCACCCTAGGTCTGCTGTCTCTCTCCCACCATCCCGCGCGTGAACCTGATCTCACTGCCAACCTGATCTCACTGCCGAGGTGTCTCCGGATCCCTCACAGGACCACAGCAGCAAGCCACAGCAATGAAAGGCAGCCTGAGAGCAGGCGGGGCTGCAGGCGCGTGCACTCCCCTCCCCGCAGGGGGCGCTGCAGAGTTGGCAGCCAGGCCACCTCCAGTCAGAACCAGCGCCCAACGAACTAACCTCCCCTCCGCTCCCCTCCCAGGAACCAACCTCATGACCACCCTCACCCGCGGTATCACCCACGTTTCTGGCCCGGCTGGCTTCTGAGACCAGAGCATTTCTGTCTTGCTGGGTGCTCCATCCCAGCTGGTGATATAAACGTGCACAGGCAAACCCTGCTAGGACGCTCTGTTCTCATCCCACCGAAAAAAAAACCCGAACCACAGCTGGAAGGTCTGGGTGCTGTTTATTGACAGCAGTTTACACACATTTACTTTCTTCCCATGATTGATTCCTCGGGGCCCAGGCGCAGCCCCGGGGAGGGCAATCTGCTGAGGAGGAGCGGAACGTGGGATGCATGTCTTTGGCCGGCCTGGCGGCCTGCAGGATGTGATCCTTCAAGCTGGAATTCCACCGGGCATTGGAGCTGGAAGTCTCCAGCAGGACGTGTTGGGCCGGGCCTCCTCTCGCTTCACTGTCCAAGTCCACCCTCGTTTTAGGACCCTGGAGGACAGCGAAGCAAGGCCCACCCACCCGGACGGGGCAGATGCCCTGCTCCGCACACCTGCCTCTGCGGGGCGGTTACAGGGAACTGCCGCCTTCCAGTCCTCACATGGGCACTAACGACAGGAAGGAGCCTCCGGTCTCCTGGGACTGCCAGCTGCGTGCTCTCAGTGGTTGCCACACTACCCTGCCTTCCTCCTGCCAACAGCCAGTGCCCGGGCTAGGGCGCTCGCGGGCCCAAGCCGCTCTTCATAGGCACATGACAATTTCCGGTGGGGGGTGGGTAAAAAGTAGATGGCTACGGGAAGAACAAAAGAGCCCTGCTGTGGAATCGGAGGGCTGAAGTGATTTCACTTTTATTTCTGTCACTCTAGCTCAATCATGAAATGTCACAGTGATTCATTTCTGGGGTGGGGCGGAAGAAGGCGCCGTGCGTTCGCTCGGGGCGCAGCCAGCTGAGGGGCGCAGGGCGGGCTCACTGGGGCAGCTGCAGGAGCACAGACTGCCCCGCCGGCAGGTAGGTAATGTTGCGTGAGCGTGACAGCTGGTACGCGATGTCCTCGGCGGCTTCCAGCTTGCGCAGCTCAATCAGGCCGTCGCCCGCGGTGGCCAGTGAGTTGGCGATCAGCTCGGCCGCCTTGGAGTCGCCCTCTGCGGAGATGATGGCTGCCTTCTTCTGCTGCTCGGCCTAAAGGAGCAGAGGTGGGAGAGATGGAGACCCCAGCAGCGGCATGGCTGCCAGTCCCCCTTGTCCCTTAAAGCCAATTCTCAGCACAGCAGGGATGAGCTTCCAGTGGCTATACAACTGTCCTTGCCCGGCACCTCTAATCCCATCACATGGGAGGCTGAGGCAGGAGGATTGCCACAAATTTGAGGCCAGTCTGCACCACACAGTGAGTTCAAGGCCAGCCTGGACTACACAGTGAGATCTTGTCTCAAAACACCAGAAGGGCATCAATTCTCAGGTTCGTCTTTCCCTCTTGTCCCAAGTCAAAACAGCTTCCAGCAGAGGCAGGTAGGACAGGGCTGGGGGTGCAGCTTAGTGGTAGAGCATGTACGCAACATTTGTGAGGCCCTGGATTCCAGCCTCAGCATCTCCACCAAGCCCAAAACAAGCAGCTCAGGAACAGCAGCCCGCTGGGCGTGGTGGCACACGCCTGTAATCCTAGCACTTGGGAGGCTGAGGCAGGAGGATTGCTGCGTTTGAAACCAGCCTGGGCTACAAAGTGAGCTCAAGGCCAGACTGAACTGAATAGCAAGACCGTGTCTAAAAAAGACCTCCAAAAAATGAAAAAAAGGAAAGAACAGCCAACCCATTTGGGAGCCCCTCCTGTCTCTCAGGAGCTAGTTCTACTCCCCATTCCTATTTCCCAATAAATCTCTCTACTCTTTAAAAAAAAAAAAAAAAAGAAAAAAGAGCAGCATGCGCCTGGGAACTGGGCTGGTCCCTGACCAGGTACCCAAACGAGGCCTCCCTGGCCGGTGGCCAGGACCACAGGCTGACCTTCAGGACAGACATGGTGACCTTCAGAACGTGTGTCGGAACACAGCAGGGAGCGTCTCTGAAACCCATACACAAGCACCTTTTTGGTTTTTTGCAGTGCCGCGACTCCAACCTTGTCCCTGCTAGGCAAGTGTTCTACACCGAGCCGTCCCTGGCCCAACACGCACTTCTGGGACCCAGCCTGCTGCTGGTTTGCTCTCCTGATGGAGACTGTGCACCCAGCACCACCAGGATAAGAGTTGGACCTGTCACCGGCCACGGAGACGCGGCAGGTACAAGGTAAAACACGTCCCTGCCCACAGCCTTCCAAGCCAAGCCTGTCCCTCTTCTCCCCGATTTGAAGGACTGAAAGGCCTTGGATTAGCAACACTGGTGTGGGGAGAGGGGCAGCAGATAAATCCAGCTCTCACGTACGGGGAAGACAGGGCTGCTGCGCAGATACACTGTGTTCCGCCACACTCGAACACATCTGGATGGGTTTAGCCCGGGAAAAAAATCCAGGGACGATAAGCACATCTGGTGCAATGTTTGATCTTTTCTGCTGTCAGCTTTCACTATGTAACTACGGTTAAAAATGACTTCTCAGAGGGGCTGAAAGTCTTCCAGGAGTAACATTTTTATGTGTAGGAGAGAGTGTTTGATCTTGGGCAAGTGGGAAGAAAACGACCCTTCACGTGAGCCTGATGAGCCCTCGCGGGCTCTGGAACCCATTGCGGGAGCGCGGCTCCTTCCCCTCTTCCGACGATCCCGGAAGGAGAGATGACAGATGATGAATCTTGGGGCCACCCAGCAGAGCTGGGGGGCGGGGAGGGGGCCCGCCATCTGGTCGAGCGCTCACCTTCTCCACCACGAATCTGGCCCTCTCCGCTTCCTGCTGAGCCACCTGCTTGGCTTCCACGGCTTCCGTGAACTCCTTCCCGAAGGTCAGATGCGTCTGGGGGAGGGAGCACAGGCTGCGGTGGGCCCGGGCGGGGAGGAACCCAGCCACCTTCCACGTCCTCGTCCACGCCTCAGGGGCCCCGGCTGTCCCCACATGCCACTGTCACCTTGTGTAGGGAACGGCCCCTGGGGCTTTCAATGGGGCCTGGAGCAGCAGGGGGGACCTTCTCAACCCGGCACCTCCCTAGAGGAGATATGGGGGTTCAGGACCCCCAGCCAGCGCTCCTTCCAAGATCCTCTGATGCCCTGCGCAAAGACCCCGGGGAGGCCCGACGGAAACTGAGCCCCTGAGAGCCGGGGAGGCAGCCAGTTCTCAGGGACCCGGAGCCAAGGCCCTGCTTATGAATTAACCAGGCCGGCTTCCTCCCGGCACCACCGCAGTCCACAGGAAGAGGCCAGGAGATAGGGCGCAGACCACGGGTCCCCGTCTGCGAGCGCTTCTGGGAAAGAGTTTAGAAGAGAAGGCAGGTAAAGCCATTGGCCAGGGCGAGGGCTTTGGTCTGATTACCTAGACCTTCCCTGGTCACATAAATAACCAGGACTTGGCTGAGGCCGCCGTCTCTGAAGATGGGACAGACAGCGGGAAACAGCTCAGAGCTCGCGATGCCTGCCTGGCCGGGAATGATTTTCTTTTTTTTTTGTTTTTTTTTCCCCCTGGTACCGGGAATCAAACTCACAACCTCACGCTTGCCAGGCAGGCGCTGTGCCACTGAACTAAATCCCCAGCCCCGGGAATGATTTTCTTATTCAACCAACTTTTTCTGGGAAAGAAGAGATACAGGGAAGAAGAGCATTGGTTTTGCCAGCAAGTGTTATTTGCTTCATTTCCTCTGCTGCCTTACCAACATCTGGCCTTGAACTTGCTGTGATCCTCCTGCCTCAGCCTCCCAGGTGCCGGGATTACAGACACGCACCACCACACCAGGGCCAACCTCTGCTTTTTAAAAACATAAGCAGCCCCCAATGCCTCCTGAGGAGAAACACCCACCTGTGTGTCTTCCACAAGCTTTAACACCTAACTTTGAAACTGCAGCTGCTCTACCCTGCCTGACCCACTCTGGGACTCTTACTCAATGTCTGGGTAAGAAAACATGATCCTGAGGAATGGAAAATGAAATGTATAATTAAGGAATAAAATTTCCTTCTACAAGGGCCAGCTGAGGGCAGCAAATTCCCCAAGAAATCTAATTTTCTCCTCACACCTCTTAGATATGGCTTCTTGTGGTCAGCCCACATCTCCCCAGAAAGAAGAATGTGGTTGTAGTCTAGCAAAATGCCAAGTTCTGCCTCAGGCTTTTTCCCAGCCCGCGGCCTCGCAGGACTCGCAGGTTGACAGCAGGTGTGTGGTGTGTGGGGTGCTGCAGCCTGGCGGGCTGCCTGGAGGGGGCACTGCGTGCCACCCCCCAGGAGCAATGGAGCCAGGCCGGGCAGGGGTGAGCCTAGGCAGGGGGCTAGAAGCACTGTTTAAACAGCTGCAGGCGCGGAGGGGAAGCGGAGGGGAAGCGGCGCGTTCCCTAGCAATGCACAGGAGACCCAGACAGGAAACTCTACCTCACCACCCAGGCAAATCACTGCAAATGAACTTTCCCAGGGAGTCCAGAAACTCGACCCCTTTGCTCCACCTGAAACGCTACCCTGCCTGTACTGCTTTCTGCCTGAGGGAGGGCTTGGCGTCTCTCTCTGTCTCTCTCTCTCTCTCGTGCGCGCACACACACACGCGCACACGGACACACACATGGACACAGGGTAGGCTCCAGGGGCCCGCAGGGACGTGCCCTGTCCCACGCCGCACCGAGGGCAGACTGCTCATTTGTCCTCTGCCGCCTCTCACCAGACCCCCTTCCCCGGACTCCGGCCCCCACTCCTAAACTCCCAGGGTCGGGCAGGAGGTGGGTGCAGCACGAAAGGCCACTGGGCCGTCCTCTGCTCTCTCCTGGGTGGGTCCATCCCGGGTCAAGCGGGCTCCCGAGACCCTCTGGGGTACACTCACAGCCGGTGCTTAGGGACCCCCTGAGGACAACCAGAGGTCAAAAGAAAAACGAGCATGGTGGAGGACAGGTGAAACTCTCAAGTGAAGACAGACTGGGCAGCTGCCTCACAAGGGCAGGAGGTGCGCGTTTTTGAGTCTTGCATCCGGGAGAGCCCAGCCCAGGAAGCCCCGGAAGCGGAGCCCCCGCAACCCCCATCTTACCAAGGAGCCCCCGCAACCCCCATCTTACCAAGGAGCCCCCGCAACCCCCATCTTACCAAGGATACGTCGTCCAGGATGAGGCCAAAGGTTGCCGCTCGCTCTGTGAGGTCGTCGCTCACCTGCCTGGAGACCAGCTCTCTCTGGGTGATCAGCTCCCCGGCGTCGAAGCGAGCCTGGTTGCGGGCAGAGGGCAGTGTGGTCAGCGAGGAGGCAGGAGAGAATGGGACAGCGACAGCCCTGGGCCGGCCCTCCTGCCCCCTGCGGTGTCCGGGCTTTGCCAGGCCCCGGCCACTCACCACCACAGACTTGAGGATCTCCGTGGTGATGGACGGCAACACGCGCTCGTCGTAGTCCTCGCCGATGCTGGTGAAGATGCGGGGCAGCTGGCTGGCGACGGGCCGGAAGAGGATGCGCAGGGTGATGTTGACATTCTGCAAATCTTAGGGACCGGTGCTGGGATTAAACCCCCGGGGGAAGCAGGCAGCCTTTGATAGCACCCGGCTGAGCCTAAATCTGCTAGAGTTTACAAGCAAACTGGCTTCTGGCTAAGACCTTTGGGGGCCCCGAGCAGGTGTACCTGGGTTCGCTGGCAGAGAAGCCAGCAGAGTCTTGCCAAGTTAGGAAATGTAGCCCAGGCCAGCCTCAAACTTCCGGCGACCCTCCTGTCTCAGTCCCTCAAGAGCTGGGACTGCGGGTGTGCACCACCGTGCCTGGCTTGGGAAATTCTTAAAAAGATTCAGCGATGACACTTTTCAGTATGTCCCCAGTGTCCTCTGATAAGAGCAATTCAGATGATGAGTCTGATGGGTGCCATGCAATGTCTGGGACACTGAACGTTTTAAGGTGACAGCCAGGTCATGCGTGGCCATAGTGTGTTCACAACATGAACCGAGTGGCCGTGAGATGGGGTCTGGCCGGTCACCCAGGCATCATGAAAAACACAGGCCCCTCCTGTCTAGAGGCACCTGGCAACACCTTTGGAAGCAGGTACAGATGAGCGTGGTGTGGTGGCACATGCCTGTAATTCCAGCAGATGGGAGGCTGAGGCAGGAGAATCACCATGAGTTCAAGGCCAGCCTGGGCTACATAACAAGACTTTGCCTCAAAAAAAAAAAAAACAAAACAACAAACCACTTCATGATGTAACTCTTACTATAGATCTTTGCACATTTCTCTGAATGTGTGCTGCTGTCTGTGCGTGCACCTCAGGACGTGTGTCTATGAATCCACATACACCAACCCAGGTTTGCACCCTGGAGCCAGCAGGAGGGCCCAGGTGACACCCACCTTTGCTGCCAGTGATGACCGGCACGTTTCGGGGTCGAGAGCGGCAGTCAAAGATAATTGGTTTCTGTACCCACGGGATGAGAAAATGGGTCCCTTCCCCTACCACGATGTCCTGGACTCCACGGAATCGGTCAAAGATGACAGCTCTGTGCCCCGCGTCCACTGGGAAGGGAAATAATGACAGGTCAGGAAGACTCCCTCAGCTCAGAGCCGGTGGTACCACGTCCCTGAAAGATCCCCGCCACCGTGAGAGATCCCCATTTACTGCATCTGCCCCCCCTGCTCTGTCTTAGGAGCTTGTGGTCTCTAGAAGCTTCTGAACAGTCACGTGACTAAGCAATCGCGTCCTGTCCCAGATGTCTCCCAAGGACCCCAGTAGCAGGATCTGTTCTTTAGCCTTCTTGCGCCTTCAAAGAACTGGCTGTTGACTTTCTGATCACCCATCCCATCTCCCACCAGTGCACTTCCAGGGGTCATCTCCCAAAACTCCTACCACTCACGGAGATCTCAATGTTCCCTTGAGGCCATCCCGGCTCCAGGGTAACCCAGTGTTCCCAGAAGCAGTGTCCTCACTATGGGATTCCTCAGATTTAGGCCCCATTCGACCTTCTAGTTGCTCAGTTTCTCTAAAACCTTAGAGCCATCTTGTTCATTCAGTGATGGCAACAGCCATGCAGCTGTGCAGATGTACAGAAAAGGGTCAGAGCAGCAAGAGGTGCCACGGACACCAAGCAGGCTTTTCTATCAGCTGTTCTGTCTTTCCCTCTCTGAACTTCAGAGCTGCGCCAACAAATACCTTTCCTCTGAAAATAAACCTGTGCCCCCTTTTAGAAACTTTTTTGTCTTTTTGTGACAGGGTCTCGCTATGCAGTTCAGGCTGGCCTTAAGCTCATTTTGTAGCACAGACTGGCCTTGAACTTGCAATGATCCTCCTGCCTCAGCCTCCCGAGTGCTGGGATTACAGGGGGGTACCACCACACCTGGCTTCTACTCCCCCCCTTTTTTTTTTGAGGCAGGGTCTCTTCATGTTTCAGGCTGGCTTTGAGCTCACTATGTAGCCCAGGCTGGCCTCAAACTCATGGAGCTCCTCCTGCCTCAGCCTCTCAAATGCTGGGACTACAGGCATGTACCGCCATGACCAGCCAAAATAATCCTACTCTTGTCAGCTATGCACCAGGTGAGTCAAACTACTGTTGCTCTGTGCTGTGGAAATTATAGAATGGTGGACTTTGAGGTGGTCTTAGAGATACACTGGTTCAATCCCACTGCTTCAAGAGTGAGGAAGTTGAGGCCTAGAGAGGTAGAAGTGATCTGAGACCTCACTGTAAAGCGAAATGAAAGCCAGTGTAAAACTTGGCCTTGGGCCGGGGATAGAGCTCAGTGGTACAATGTCTGCCTGACAAATGCAAGGTCCTGAGTTTGAGTCTCAGCACGAAAAAAAAAAAAGCCTAGCCTTGTTGGGAAAAATGGGGCAGTGCATCTCAAAGGTATTTTTTTTGGAACGAGCAGAGCAAAAGCTCCTGTTCGGGACAAGGTCACCCAAATGGTCTCACACCTGCACTAACTCATCCCACACACAGGCAGAACAGGTTCAATCCCCACTAGCCAGGGAATCCAGACACCAAAGCAGCACTGGGTGATATGGTGTCACTTCAGAATGACGCAGGACAACGACGGCCACCAGGACAGGGCTCTGGTAACACGGTGGTACAGAGTGGCGGAAGGTGACCCCTCTCGGCCAGAAACGCATCACAGATAGCAGCTGCCACACAGAGTGTGACGCAGGCCATGGACAGTCCTGCCCGTTGGGCAAAGGGCAGGGACCCCCCATCCTGGCCTCAGTGGCTCACCGTTATATAAGGCAGAGTTCACCACGCCCCCTGCCACGGCTAGGGCCAGACCGAACTTGCCGATGGACTCAAACACCTTCGCAGCCATGTTTCCTTCTGCTGGCCCCACTCACGCCTAAGGGAGTAAAACAAAACAAAATAAAACCACTCAGCTTCGCGCGCTCACAGGAAGCCCTCTCCGCCGCATGACCTCCATTTCTCAAGTGGTTATTCACTTCCCACTCCTGAACCACTCGCTGGAGGCCAACGAAGAAAAGACAGTCTAGATCGAGCAAAGTACAGCACGCCCTGTTTTCCTTCTGCAGCTTCTTCTTTGTAATCACAAAAGGAACGGGGTGTGGAAGACCTTATTCAATAACGGGAATGAGGCATGGACTTCACACCCATAGAGAACTTCAAACCCTACTAAACCACATTCCCGTTTTTGGACAAAGAGGCCCCAAGAAAGCCTAGCATGGTGGCGCACGCCTGTAACCCCAGCACTCACTCGGGAGGCTGAGGCAGGAGGATCGCTGCGAGTTCAAGGCCAGCCTGTACTACAAAGTGAGCTCAAGGCCAGCCTTGATTTGCATAGCGAGATCCTGTGTCAAAGACCAAAAAAAAAAAAAAAAAAAAAAAAAAAGAAGAGGCCCCAGCAGTGGTTCATTCTGGGTAATCTTCGCTTGGAAAAATAACTCCAAGAACGTGCTACAGTGATGATGACAGCAACAAAAGTAACAGCGACAGCTATGAAGTAATTACTCCACAGCAGGAAACTCGGGTGCAGAGAGGTGACTCCGTGAGGCTTAGAAATGAGGCTCTGGGGCTGGGGATTTAGCTCACAGGCACAGCGCCTGCCTGGCAAGCGCAAGGTTGTAAGTTCGATTCCCGGTACCGGAAAAAAAAAAGAACGGAGGCTGTAATTCCTGAGGGCAGAGTGTAACTTCTCACACTGCTTGCCGACATTCTGGTATAAGAATGACCCGCTGCTGCCCAAGCAGGACGGCATTCTCGGACCAGGATAACAGGACGACCCACCGGGCACCGAGGCCCTAAGGAGCTGCCCGCGCGGCCGGAACTCTGCAGACCAGGGAGCCGGAGCGGGAGCGGGAGCAGGATCGAGCGGGCCTCCCTGAAAACCACTCCAGCCTCAACTTTCTAAGGCCCCGCCGCAAAGCCGTCACCGTCCCGCTCGCAAACCCGCCCTCCCTCCCGCTCAGTCCTCAACTCCCAGACTACTGCACCCCGATCGCGCGTCTTCCGCCTCGAGACGGGACGCCGGTCCTTTCCATTGCTAACAGCTTCTGGATTTTTCCTCCCCCTGCGCAAACCCTTGCTCCTTCTGGGCTCAGCTCCTTTCCCCTCCCGCAAAGGCAGACCCATGCATGCACCCCACACGCTCAAACTGAGTATAAGCAAGCAGAGGAGAACTTCGGAGAAGCCCTGACACAGGCCTAGAACAACTCACCACTCTCACCTGCTCCCACTCTGACCTCCACATGAATTCCCCAGCCGCGCCTACTGCGCACGCGCCATGCTGCTCCACCCCTCCCCCGCCCTTTCTCCAAGACCGGCGCTGTCGATTGGTGGGCCGAAGCGCAGTCAATTCTGGGAAACGTGGTACGCAGCCTTGCGCTGGACCCGGAGTTCTTCTATAGGTGAACTACCATTCCCAAAAGACCATGCGGCGGCTGGTGCCGGGCAGAAAAGCCTTTTCTCTTTGGTGGTAACCTGTGGGATATTGCCGCAAAGCCTTTTGGGGGGTGTAGTTCCCCGTTGATAAATGCACGTGTCTGTCCCTCACCAAGGCTTGGGACTTCGGGAAGCTGAGCCTCAGGGCTATAGGAAGGAAGGCCTGGGCCTGTGGCCGATGGCAAAGATGGCAAGGGCAAACTTATGGCAGGTGAAAGAAGACGGGTGGACACTGTGGAGAAGTTGTAATGAAATAATTGGTGGACTGTCCTGGCAAGCGCGAGGTCATGAGTTCGATTCCCGGTACCGGGAACCACCACCCCCCCGCGCAAAAAAAGAAGAAATAATTGGAATGAAGACACTTTGCAGAAAGCTAAGGGCTGTCCTTTCTCCAAAGGCTTGTCTGGGAACATCCTCGGAGTTGTGGGACTTTGATTGCCAGAGCCAGAGACCCTTAGGAACATCTGGACTAGAAAACAAAGGAAGAATCCCTCTAGGGTCATGAATTAAGGGAGCAGAGAGGGGCTTGGTTTACAATCCAGGTCTCCTGCACACAGATTTAAAAACCTGTATTTGGTAAAGTTACACCATATGTACAAAGGTGGACAGAAGCTTTTCTTTTCTTTTTTGTACTGGGAATCGAACTCAGGACCTTGCGCTTGACAGGCAGGCACTTGTGCCACTGAGCTATGTCCCCGGCCCCACCATATGTGCGAAGAACCAAGAACGGGTGTGTGTCCTTTCTCAGATTCATCTATTGTTACATTTTGCTTCATCTTCTCCCCTCCCCAGCCCTCGCTCCTTTCCCTGCGTTCCTTTTTCCTTCCCTCTTCCCCTGCCTTCTCCCTCTCCTCCCCTCCCCTCTCCCCACCTAGGGCAGCGTGGGTTTTCTACGAATAAGGATGCCTTCTTATTCCAGTAGATGTAATCTGCCCTCTGCATTCCAACTTCATCAGCTGATCCAGTAGTGAGGTTTGTAGTGCTCCCCTCCACCACGGGAGAAAACGGAGTCCTGTGCTCATTTCTCACATCTCTTTGGTCTCCTTTAATCCCAAAGCTTCCCTCAGCCTTCCTTTGTCTTGTATTACATTTTTTAAAGGGGATGTTTCTCATTTTGTATTTGTCTGGTGTTTCCTCATTTAGATTCAGGTTTTGTGTTCTTAGGTAGGATATTGCAGTGACATAAAGACACTTAACAAAACCAGGGCCATTTCTGGATTCTACTGGGCTTGGACTCTCCACTTTTCCCACATTTCTCTACTCTTTGTCCCACTTCTGTGTCCCTCCCCCCATGTACACAATCAAAAGGCCAGAGATACTCTTCAGGTGGTACCGATTTGCACTAACCAACCGCAACTTCCCTTGGCCTTCTGGAGTCTATAAGAGAGCTGGAAGCTAAGCATCTTCCCTGTTCTATGCTCGGCACACACGACGGTGCTGGGCCCATGGGGCACTCAGTGGGGTGTTTGCTGAATTAATTACGGTGGAAGGCATCGAAGCGGCTGGGTAGAGAAGCTATAGCCAGAAAACACAGGACAGGGTGCTCCAGCATCCTGCAAAAATGGCCTTAGTATTGTTTGTCTCTAACTCAATCTCCACTCCAGGAAGCCTGAAAATATTGAAATAATCCAAATTTTAAACAATTTTAAGATAATTTTCAAGTATCTACAGCATACCATATTTTATATCATGAAAATCCATTATCCCTAGTCTTTTTAAAAAATATTTATTTATTTATTTATTTTTTGGTACTGGGATTCGAACTTATGACTTGAGCTTGCCGGGCAGGCGCCGTGCCACTGAGCTAAATCCCCAGCCCCTATTTTTAAAATTTTTTTTTTGTCCTTTTGAAACAGGGTCTCACTATCTCATTGTGTAGTCCTGGCTGGCCATGAATTCACAATGTAGCCCAGGCTGGCCTGGAACTCCCAGACATCCTCCCGCCTCTGCTTCCCGAGTGCTAGGATTACAGGTGTGCACCACCACGCCTGGAAAAGTAAGGAGAACCCATCAACCCCATTTTATGGGTAAGGAGATTGAGGTTCAGAGAGCAGAAAGGTTGTTTATGACCCCTTACCTCGTCAGAGCCAACTGGACTGACTGCAGGTCTTCTCGGCCTGAGCACTGGATTGTTTCCTGAATTTATCAGCTGTGCTGATAAATCACCCCACACACAAATTACCTCTGCTTTGTGGTCTGGGAAACAAAGGCAGGAAAGCCAGGTGGTACTGGGGCAGCATGCGGACTTGGGTCATCTGTAGGTGGAGAGATGGAGGGGACAGGTGAAAGCAGATCAAGCACAGCAGCGCCAGTCCATGGCTTAGAAGTCTCCCCACACACACCAAAAACCAAGACGTGGCCCCAGTTTGCTGTTCCGCTTCAGCCCATCCCCGGCCAGGTGCGCAGATCAGGGCTGAAAACAGTTGTATCTGGAGTGCTGCCTCAGACCTGTTGCTTTATAAATGTGTCAGCTCATCAGGCTCCGCTTTCACAGCTCCATTTGTTTTTGAAACGGGGGTCTCACTGTGCAGTTCAGGCTGGCCTTGAACTCACAAGGATCCTCCTGCCTCAGCTTCCCAAGTGCTGGGATTACAGGCGTGCACCACCATGCCCGGCTCACACTCTGTTTTGGAAATGGTGAGATGGAGACTCAGAGAAGTCAAGTAATTGCTTAGCAGCACATGCGTGGCAGGTGTGCCTCCGACCACAGCAGCAGGAAGGGGGTCTGTAATAATATCTTAAGGAAGTTTGATTTCTTTTTCTAGCTCACTGCCATGCGAGATGGGCAGCAATGAGAATAAGCAAGCACAGAAGCACATCTGCAAATGAATGGCCAGGTGTGCTGGTGCATGCCTATAATCTTACCTCTCAGGAGGCTGAGGCAGGAGGATTGCAGTAAGTCTGAGGCCAGCCTGGGCTGCCTAGTGAATTTAAGGTCAGCCTGGACTACATAGCAAGACCCTGTCTCAAAAAAAAAATTTTTTTTAAATTAGTTTCATAAAGGAAATAAGCAAAGGCCTTAATCAGTTTTTTCATTGCTGAGACAAAAATGACCAACATCCACAGTTAAGGAGAGGTTTATTTAGCTCACAGTTTGTAGAGGTTTCAGTCCATAGCTGGCGGGCTCCAAGGCAGGATAGCATGGCAGAGGGGCATCGCAGAGGAGAAACAGTTCACGGCAGGCAGAAGACAGCAAAGCAAGCGACAGTAGCAACTTCCTTCTGTCCCTTTTATATTCTATCTGGGCCACGGGGCTTGGGGTGATGCAAACCAATCAGTGGACTAATTTAGTAATCACACAACCTTAATCCCAGTGTTACACTCTGTAGATCCAGCCACCTCTGGAAAAGCCCCACCTCTGACTGCAGGAGGCTTTGAGGGGACGTTTTGACATAGCTGAAGAGCAGACAGTAGGCCGATGTCTGGATAAATGTGAAGGGTCGGGGTGCAGGACATAGAAAAGGGAACCCAACTGACGTAAACAGGAAAGAGAGGGCTAGGGACCGAGGCCCGGGTTGGCGGTTCGGGGATTGGTGATTCAGGGGCTCACCGAGTGCACCAGTGAAGCCTGCCGTCCCATCCTCAGCCTGTGCTTGTCCCCTTAAGGCCACCGGACGGCTGCAGAAAGTCCAAGCTTAATATTCTCAGAGGGCGTGTCACACTTTTGGGTCCCTTTATAAGAGTGACGTAGAAATTCCCAGAAGAGCCCCCTAGACATCGAGTCATGTTTTCCCGGGCAGAAGTGTGTCACCTGCCGGTTTCTAGGCCACTGACTGGCAAAGGAGCATCACTGCTGTGGGGCTTGGGGGTGGGGGGCTGGCTGCTCCGAAACCAGGGATCACCGGGAACCCAAACACATCAGAATGGGGTTCTCGTTAGCAAGGGAGGGGGTGGGGAGAGACTGAGAGAGACTGCAGGTCAGAGCTGCAACCCCCGGGGGTCTCTGGGAAATGCGGTCGTGCCTGGGCGGGTGACATTTAAGGTGGGAGTGGCAAGAGTGAGGGCGGAGAGGATGGCCTGTCTGTGTCAGGCACCCAGCGAGGCGGCTGGGAGGAGACGAGGACACTCAGCTAATACACTGGGAGAAGGTGCAGTCAAGGTGCCGGTACCTAGGGTCCTCGTGTGGGCAACACTGAAACCGCAGGGGCCAGGAACAAGAAGACAGCCTGGGGCTGGGGATTTAGCTCAGCGGCAAAGCGCCTGCCTGGCAAGCGCAAGGTCGTGAGTTCGATTCCTGGTACCAGGAAAAGAAAAAAAAAAAAAAAGAAGAAGACAGCCTGTTGTCCTTACAGGGGTGACCCAGAGCCCTCAGACCCCACAGAGCCCAGGAGGGTTGGGAAGCTGTCAAGGGGCAACTCTCCTGGTGGCAGGGCGAGTGAGTTACAAGGGGTCTGCTGGCATCTGCTCACAGCCTGGTTGCCATCACGGAGCCATTTTCCTGCAGTGTGAAAAACCTGAGGCGGGTCTGGACCTTGGGCCACGGAAGGAGAGACATGAAGTTACGATGGTGGCTGGATGCAGACTTTGCTGCAAAGCTTGATTTATTTATTTTTGTTGTTGCTGTTGTTTTTTTTTGTTGTTGTTGTTTTTTTTTTTTTTTTGGTCTTTTTGAGACAGGGTCTTGCTATGTAGTTCAGGCTGGCCTTGAGCTCACTTTGTAGCCCAGGCTGGTTTTGAACTTGCAAGAGATCTACCTGCCTCAGCCTCCCGAGTGCTGGGGTTACAGGTGTGCGCCACCACACCTGGCTTCTTTTTTTTTTTAGACAGGGTCCTGCTGTGTAGCCCAGGCTGGCTGGCATCAGACTTGTGATGAATTTCCTGCCTCAGCCTCCTGAGAGTAGGGTTTACAAGCATGCAACACCA